AGCTGCACCCCTGAGGCGGCTCTAATCTCGTTCGTGCCGCGTTCGCAGTATTGCGATGAAAGGCGTACCTTAATTTTCACCGTTCGTTCGCCGCACGGAAACGTCGAGGAAAAGAAAAAAAAATGCCCGAGAAAGACCTCGAAATACGATGGATGGATGGATGGTAATGAGTCCGGCGTTCTGTCGCGCCGCGACGCTTCGAACTCGTCGGATTTCCAAAGTTATTCGAGCATTTTCTTTGTTCGGGCTCTCCATCGACGGCGAGAAAAAGAGATCGCCTTTCAATTCTACCGGCACACCCTTTAATCCCACACTGGCTGGAATAATATTTCAATTGAGACGTCGTTGAAAGTGTTCCTTTATCCACTCGCGTCAATTATCCTAAGCTTTCGCGTTTTCAATGCTAAACGCTTTTGACGAATGGATATTGCTACGTTATATTCTCTTACGATTAATTGTCCCTTTAATTGAAAACTGACATTCGATTCCTCATACTGCTGCAATCGCGCTGGACTCTCGCTATATGGCCCTCGAGGGTAAGACAGAAAAAGATCATGCACAGACTATTTCATAAACTCGACTATATCGACATAGTTCATACATTGAAATCAAAGACTAAATTTCTAATTTTTTTACATTTTTCTGTACATTTCTAACATCTCCATCCCTTTTAATCCAAAAGGACTTTCACGTAAAAATATTCGAAATTTTGTACATGGGAAACTTCAAGACTTTTATACTTTTCTGTATGACTTCTCCACCGTTGAAAGAAGATATCTCAAAGTTATCGAACCTACATATCATTGTCCGTAATTGAGCAATTACATGTACTTCCATGTCCTAATTCATTCACGTCTTTCGTCAATGGCAGAAGTTTTAGGGTAGAACTTTACAATTACGGACAGTTTACCTGCGCAACGCATCTCTTTGGAGAAAGTTGGACAGGCAACACGGCAAGAGATTTTAGGTAAATTAATCGGCAGCTTTTACGTAGTCTCGGAGCGCGTCAGCCTTTTCGAGAACGTTTTCAGAAGTTTTCCGCCGCGAAATGTAGCGGAAACGCTCGGTTCGATCTCGAAACGCGAAATACGAAACTTCAGCGTGCTGTTACGTCGAGCGATACTTGCAACGTTCCGTGTCTCTTCAAAACTTCCTCGAGTATAAATATTGAATCTCTATCAGTAATCCCAAACTTCTGCTCCCCGGTTAATTTTACAAGCTGCTTTGACACCGTCCTGTACCCGTCAAATAAAGCGCCCGTGCAACAGTCTAACTTCCAAGATACTCCTTCGTTTACTTATTTCGGTGACAAACAAAATTACAGCGTGTGTCGAACATGAAAATGGGTCACAATATTCTCATCTTCGAAGACCACGGATTCTTGCATCTCTGACTTATTACTATGATAAAAAAATTTGATCCAATATTTGAATTATCAATGGTGCTCTCTGTAATATATTAAAATATTACACAAAACCGGGTAGAAATTTTGAAAGTCATAAAGCTGGCAGCTAAAAGTTGAAAAGAGTAATCTACATTGTCCGAAGCCCGACCTTTTCAAACATTCAAAAACGCTTCACATTTGGTTGATCAGGAACCGGCGTTCGATGTTCGTCTACGTGAAATCGTGGAGCGTCGTGCGGCTGCGATCAAAATTCACTGGGAGCTCTTCACCGTAATTCACGGTGACGACTCGGAGACCGGTTCGCGAGGGAAAACCTGAGAAAATCATCGTCGAGGACGTGCTCTTGGCGCAAAAAGCTCGAATGTCAGGCGAATCCTTTTGTTCACATACGTGAGCAGATAGTGACGCACGACGGCTCGGCAACACGGTGCCGCGGCTTCATTTGTGCCGTGACAAAAAAAGCCGAGAAAAGAGCAGAATACAGGCTGTTCGATAACGTCGACGTTTACTAGCTACTCAGACATTTCTCTCTGGCAACGTTTAAAATAAACAAGATGCTCTTCTGAGTGTTGACTGTAAATGATGTACTTTTTGTTCAAACATTTTATTTCACATTTTATTAAAGTAAGACATACTTGATATTAATTGTTGTTGAAAATAGCAAAAATAAATATACAAGTATGTCGGTAATAAAGTTTGTATACTTATCTACCAACTATATGATACCGCTCGTTTAAATGAGATCCTCAAATGTTAAAATAAAATAATATCTAAAAATATTCATTCTTCTGTGTTCTCTTAGCGATTACGATATTGTACTCGCACATTAAAAGATCTTGCGTAATATTTAAAACTTCCTTCCTAGTTATTGTTTCATATTTTTAAAATAAATTTGTTCTGTGTTTAAATAGTGTTAGTTGTGTTAATTTATATTATATAGTTGTCAATATCTTATATAAAAACTATACTCCCATTTCCATCAATTGTAAATGTGTAATATTAACCAGTTTAGCTTAGGCGCAACTTTGGTCTCCTGCACTATTTTGATGATGCGACGCACTACTTTACAATCAATTTTGCTCGAGTATATATACTCTTCAATTTAGAGTTACAGTCCAATTATTTGCATAGTCAGATTGACTGTTATTTGACATCAGTCCGATTGATACCGAATTGACATAACATTTCAACATTCTGTGTCTGTTTTAATATTGCAGTTATGATTAGTTAGTTATGATTGACGCACGTGAAAAATCATAGTGTGAGCGGTTAAATAGACACTCAAATACTATCTGATTATTTAATTTCATATACAGTGGTTTGAAAAGACTGTTTCATTTTTTAAATGCAATTTTATATTCATAAAAATTGATGCTATAAGTCCGCGTAAAAATTTATAAAAATAAATTTGTGCACATAAGTAAAGTGTAGTACATAAGTAACACGTGTGAATTAGAGGAACAGATTGTCCAGCAAATCTGGCGAAGCACCATCGTAGACACTTGAAGGGTCGTTCGAAACGTAAACGACGCTTGAAAGTTCTGGATCGAAGCGCGTAACGAGCAAGAAGCATGTAGATGCAGTAGGGAAATTTAGCGAACCACTCACGGTTTGGAGGATCCGCGGCACAAAAGCTTGCACGGATTGTTTGGCAGTCGAGTCGTTGATCGGATCCAGCGTCTACGGAGAGCGAGTGTTTGCTCGAACTTCCTTATTTTTCCGCGAAGGAACGCGGCCGTGAAGCGTGGCGAGACAAGGCGGAAAGAAGAAATGGAGGAAGAGTAGAAGGGGAGCGAGTTGGCCCTGGGGGCGCGTTGGGTTTCCATTATGCTAAACCGCAAATGGAGTCCTGCGATCGAGTGTCTCTGCACCACCCCCGGAGGCACACAAAGCCACTGGAATAAGGCTCCTAAGGTGTAATGTTACCGAGAAATTAAATTCTCTCGTACTCTCCCGACCGCCTTCGCCTCCGGCACGAACCGTCGTCCGATTCCTGCCACCCCCCTTGCCTCCACACTCTACAGGACGTTTCACTCCGACGCTCCGAATAGAAAAGAATAGAGATTTTCGAACGCGCTTGTTTCGACGATGAAAATTGTTCTTCCGGGTCTTGGTCTAACCTTCCTCTAGCATTATAATTGCCCTGGGAAATATAATTGGATCGTAAAATTCTCGGAGTTCAAGATATTGGAGTCTATTTTGGAATTTTGGGAAATTTTCAGATTTACTTATTTGATAAAATCAAAGACAAACGGACCTCCATTAACTGTTCAAGAATAGGTTGCATTCGAAAGTATTTTAATATTCTAGTGTTCAAAAGTATAAGTTCCATTCATTTTTAACTACTTTAATATATTACTACTATTCTCTTTTCCAATATTATTTGAGAATGAAAAAAATGCTACAAGATATCATTTTACAATTTCTACTTAAACATAATTGTACATCCACATACTCAAAATTCATTTAGTAATTTTACAACAGAAACGGTTTGCACCGTGCTTCGCTTCCATTAACCAAAGCTATTTATAGAATGTAAATGCATTTTACAAAGCCTAATTTATCGAAATTCGAAACGGTTTCGCTATTTTGCCTGTAACGAGAATTATCGAAACAAATTTCGCCGCGAATTTTCGCGGTAACGACGGTAAAGCGGCCTTTGTTCCGCTCGTCAATTGCAATTATCGCAACTGCAAGGTGATTACCCGTGTAATTCTTTTCCAGCTAGAAGTATCCTAGGGCGAACAGGTCTCTTTTCTTTCCGCCTTTCACGCCGATACGAGTTAATGAGCCTGGAACGTTTAATCCAGCGTTCATTAAGGCGTCAAAATTTGTTACCTCCCTATAAGAGTGAAGCTTCACCCTCGCCAAAGGAATAAACGCGATCATTATCCTCGATCGAGTGTATCGAGGACCTTCGTAAATTTTTTACCGTAAAGTTGACCAACTATCCACGCAGCAACATTTATTTTTGCATACTAATTAAAAGAGTAATTAATAAATTCTTGGTCAAGTTTATCCCTGTAAGAAGCAATTTTACAAGAGAGAACTTTTTTATAGATACTTACATTCGATAACACAGAACCGCTATAAAAATAGCCCTTCGAGGTATATTTATTGCGTACTAAATTTTCGTGGCAGCTATTATTCAACCCGTTAAGAATCAGATTTAAATATAACTCGATGTTAGGTTAATTTTTCACTATATCGATGTTCGATGTGGTTGACGGCCTCGACCTCCCTCGATCTCCGTCAGGGATCGTGTATTTTTAACCCATCATTAGGGGTTATTAAGCTCTAACTACAGGGAGGAGCGGTCGACAGTGACCCTTCGAGCCAATTGTGGCGTCGTCGTTGCAGAAATTAACGCCTGTCGACCTTAATACTACGAAACTACCACGTGCTCTCACGTTCTTCATTCAATCGTATTAAACATTAATGTAATTTTAAAATAGCGTAATATCAATGCAATCCGTTCTAGTCCATAAATTACGACAGTAAAGCTTGTACACGTTTTATCAGGCCATTCTGTATAATTCGGTATAAATTGTTTGCGATCCATTTAATAACGTTTGTCCCATTTTATTTTTTGCAGAGGGGCTGTGATGAGGGAAGCCGGTTAAAGGACCCTGTGTCGCGCAGGCGCCGGTAGGAGTACAGGAAAGATGCTGCCTTCCTCGAGAGCTTTATTAAGCTCGCTGCTGCTTCTAATCATTGCTGGAAGCACCGGTGCCTTCAGCTCCCGACAAGGAGGTAAGAAAGCTCCGCTCGAAGAGAGATGTTTTTGTCCTGCTGAGAGGCAACAACGACGACTCGGCCTCGACTTCGACGACGTTCCCTCGTTCCGTTCTTCATCAATTTTCTCAAACTTTTCTCCCGGCAAATCTGGTTAAGTCGTTGACCGACTTTTACTCGATGCTCAGCCGCCATTCTTATTCGTTTTCTTACGAGTTTCGGTGTTGTTCAACATTTTTAGCGAACGACTCGAGACGAAGATCGAGTACCTGTTGGACGACCAGTTCGTCCTGTTTTTAAATTATGTACAAGTCCAAAGGACGACTCGAGTCAACTTTCTGGAACAATGCTCGTCTGACCTCCTGTTGCGTTAACCCTAGGCAATAGTCTCGGCGATAAATATTTGGTCAGAGAACTTGGAGATTCTTGGGTCGTTCAGGCCCACTCTACCCGAGAACCTTCTAATTCTTTTAGGAAGCAAATTGCCTGCACTTTTTATTACTCTTGCAAACTCTGCTACTCTTTGGGAATTTTTAGCAAACGTGCAAATTTACTGATCTCGTAATTTAGAAATTTGATTAATTCTCCTAATTATCAAATCAGTCTCCAAACGTGCTAAGTTCAGTATCCTAAGCGGGCGAAAATCGGTTGAACGCGTTCATAAGCATATTCGAACAACGGAAGCGCCGTTTTTCAGGATTTCTAAGCTTTTGAATTTACGCGACCTCGTTTCGGAAAAGCCTGTGTACGCAATGCTCAAAAAGTTTTGGGTCTTTCATCGTCTAGCTTCTTCTCCTTATTCTTTCTTTCTATGCTCGACGTTATTCTCCATTTGTCCAGCCGTTTGTCCGTGTTTCGCATTGCTCGGTAGAGAACAGCTCTCAGTGGCCATTTCCTAGATTAAGGTCACCTGGAAAGCAAATAGTTGTTAGAGGGTAGAAAGAGAAACACTCTCTCGTTCTCTGTCGTAGTTTGAACTTCCGGTGTATACGTTTCTGGAAAACTATTTGCGCGCGAAACACCCGTCGCGTTTCAGAAATACCGGAGAGATACGAGCTACTGATGGCGAGAGAGAATTGCTGCGACCTCTCCTTCATTTTCACGTAAACCTCGTTGTTTTACCACCGTTAGAATCCTTGGAAACGAACCTTGCCAGATACGTTTTGCGAGTTACGTGTTTAATGTTCTGCTAGTTTGTGTTTCATTTCAGTCTTGGGGGAAATTAAACCTCGATAGCGGCTCCTGTTTGTATGGTCAAGTGTTATATTGTCACGCGTTGCATCGCCAAACGTTATATCACCACGCGTTACAACACGTATTACTACGTTGCATCGATAGTCTCGATGTCACGATCGCCCTGCGTTACACGCATTGTATTGCCGTGCATTATATATTTATTGCGTGCTACGTCGATAACGCTAGTTATATCGCTCTGCGTTATACCACTAACATATATCATTCGTATATTACGCTATCTACATGTTGCAATTTTAGACGTTGTAGCGTTCGCGTGTTTATAGTCCCTCGTTGCTATTCATGATTGTCTACTTGATATCAATTATGCATTTATTGAGAAGTTTGACTATCACTAAAACTACCAAACCAGTTAAATGACCGCTCCACAAGTTTCTGATTATACGTTACACATTTTGTTAAACATTCCTTGAAATCCACATTGATTTTCATCAAGATAAAGGATAAATGTATGTTGTATTTTATGTTTTGTCGTTTGTTTATTTATTTTTTAACTTCATTTTTAATTTCAAATTAAGTATACGCTATATGCCGGTAGGTTTAGTGTTAAGATCTAAAATACAAGTCAGACAACTTCAAAAGTTATCATTGTACATAGTATTGTAGGAATAGAGTTTTATAAACTAATCTTTTATTAAGAGAACACAATGTTCTGTTAAATAATAATACATTTTATAGTATTCAGATTTAGTGTTATAAAACGAGGGCGAAAGAAAAATATGTTGATCTTCTACACATTTTGTTAAACATTCCTTGAAATCTACATTGATTTTCATCAGGATAAAGGATAAATGTATGTTCTATTTTATGTTTTGTCGTTTGTTTATTTATTTTTTAACTTCATTTTTAATTTGAAGATTGGCTATCACTAAAACTACTAAACCAGTTAAATGACCCCTCCACAAGTTTCTGATTATAAGGTATACATTTTGTTAAACATTCCTTGAAATCTACATTGATTTTCATCAGGATAAAGGATAAATGTATGTTCTATTTTATGTTTTGTCGTTTGTTTATTTATTTTTTAACTTCATTTTTAATTTCAAATTAAGTATACGCTATATGCCGGTAGGTTTAGTGTTAAGATCTAAAATACAAGTCAGACAACTTCAAAAGTTATCATTGTACATAGTATTGTAGGAATAGAGTTTTATAAACTAATCTTTTATTAAGAGAACACAATGTTCTGTTAAATAATAATACATTTTATAGTATTCAGATTTAGTGTTATAAAACGAGGGCGAAAGAAAAATATGTTGATCTTCCGGCTGTGTGATCGAATGGCCCAACCCCTAAATTCGCTGAGAGTATATTTTACCCGTCTCCCGTTTTCTCGTAAACAAACCCCTTGTAGCTCGACGACAGACGCGACGAATAAAAAAGTAAATCCGTGCAGTGGCAGAAGAGGTATCGTCGCCAAAGGTTGTCGAGCCCATCGGTCGGGGTATTACAATTTTCTTCCATCCGAAAATGTCAACGCCACTTGTTTCAATTGCGCGATGCGGTTAGCGTATTAGAGCCGCGACCGCAAGAAGTGGCGCACTCGAGATTTTATTTTCGTGCGGTGTTCGCCAGAACGGGTCGAAAACGACCGCACTATCGTGTAACCCTTTAAACTCGGGGATAGCAGTTTCGCTCGCCCATTGACCCAGATCCCAGACTGGAATTTCACCAAGCCACGAAAGATACTCGCCGGAGCAAGACCTCGACCCGCAACCCCCTTTTAAATTAAGGTCATCGAAGGTTTCATTTTCTTTTCCTTTTTCAGTCACACTCGTTTCGACACTGATTAGTTTTCCCGTCCGATATCGAAAAGGAAAGTCAGTCGGTTCAAGGTGGAAGGGATGAAACGATCGCTGTAATCGCAGGGCAAATAAGATTATCTGATCGAATTTTAATGGCGAGCTCGCGTGGCCTCCGTGACGAGCAACCCTCCACTGCTCAAAGCGATCGTAAAGAGCGCTGTTCTGTCGCTTAATGCCCGAGTAAATTCGACCGCTTGCAACCCCCTGTCGCATGGGGGTTGTTTGCGCGTGCCTACGTAGCCAACGTGTGACGTCGGCTAATCTGGAACTCCTCGAATTTACGCCGTTTCAGTTAACTATACTCCCTATCTCATTTGTTTCTGGGTCTCTTGTTCTGTGGGTTACATTCTACTTTTTCCCCCTTTGCACGAACTTTTCCCTTTCAATTTTTTAATCAAGCATTCACTTGCAATTATTCGATCATTCTTTTCATATCTAATTTTTGTAATACGTTCAAAGACTCATAATGCAGTTGAAGATATTGATCGACATGTTTCTTAATATATTCGAGAATTTTATATATGGTAATGTTTCATAACATAATAATATTACATTCTCTTGTACTGGCAAATCAGTGTGTACGATTTACGTATGGTCTACGTATGACGCACATAAACCTTGTAATTGTAAAAGTTCAAAAATTTGTCTTCTATTAATAAATTAATCTTCGGTTAACACTCTGATGATTTAACTTTGGAACAGCTTGTGTATGTTATATTTGTCTGCTCAGAATTAGGTACAATGTTTTCAAAAGCACCGAATATCTTCGAAATGTTTTCGTTTTACGCAACCAGACCCGTCGACATCCACTCGTGTCGCGTCGCTCAAATTGGGTTGACAGCCCCGTTCGCATGCGAAAACGCTCGAGCAGCTAACAAAGCCAGTCGTGTTGTTGCTCCCGTTCGAAAAAGACAGCTCCAACTTCTTCGGGGCGCCATTGCGGCGAGAACAAGAACAAAATTCGAAAGAGCATCGGACTAGGCGCCTAATTAAGGTGGGGTCGACGAACTTCGTGATTCGTGAAAAGGGAACGAGCAAAATCGAGGAACTATCTTTACTACCCTTTAATCACCGTCTTTGAAGACATTGTACATACCTTTTGATCAAATACTTTAAAAATTTTCAAGGGTGGTTTTAAAGACATTTGCTTATTTGGCAATCTGTCAAATTATTTGTTAACCATTCATCACGTTTTAATTAAGTACAAGGCCATAATTAAAAAGTTCTTTACTTTTTGACATTTTAATAAATCAGATCGTCGCAGTGATAAAGAGTGATGCTGTTTGGTAATCTATTTTCCGTCGCACTCGTTGCGAATTTATTCTAGCGATTCCATTAGTATGATCACCTTCGAAAATAGTTTTTACTATATTATTTGTTGCAACGGTAAGAATAGTTTTACTGGAACAGTGTAGCATTACCAATTTATCGGGGCGAGCTGTCACTCCAGCTGTTCGGATAATCCACATCTCGCTATACCGCAATTTAAACTTTAGACGTGAACTTTATTCATTACCTCCCATTTAACCGTAATTCGCGACACTGTACGAGCGAGTCTCGGTTTCCAACTTTCTCCCGCAAGATGGCATTATTGCACCCCGTTTCTTTTTTTCGCTCCATTAATGAAGTAGCTTTTGACAACATGGCTGCTCGAACGTCACCCAATGAACGAGCACAATTTTCAAATCTTGTATAACTAAATACGTGAATAAACTTTCATTCTGAATGCAGAGAAATATTTTAGAGTTTCATGCAATTATGTATTACCTTTCATAAAATTGTCGATTTTATTCTTGCAAAGCTTCTTTCAAAATAAATTAAATAAAAGTTTTTCAAATTGATCTCAGAAATTAAGTATGGAAATATCGATTCTAATTACTCGAGTTTTATATTACAAATGATCAGATGATTCTTTTCAAAGTTTTATACTGGAAGTAACATTTTATGAGTAAGGTTTTT